CTGAAGACAACTTTGGTTCTCTGCAAATTTTGTCATTACCCCTACAACAAATAACGAATAAACATACCAAACCATAACAATATGAAACTATATATAGAAGTAAATGTTCCGGTTACTAGTAACAGTACCTCTCACTTTGATAGTGCTATTACATTATAATAGCCTAAATGTTATAAGTTCAATAAAGGAATAATTAATTTAGTCATTCTAGGCAAATTTAAAGAGTAGCACCCAATGGCTATTTATTATAATATATTGTTTATAATAGTCTAAATATTGTAACTTGAATAAAGGAATATCAATTTAATTGTTTAAGCAAAGTTAACGCTGTGGGTAAATTTGTCAGTGTTTTCAATTAATTGGTAAAAATTGAGAAATTAGCCTGGCTGATTTGTCAGCAATCATTTGTAATGAGCCAGCACTCAAAAGTGTTTTGGTGAGCTCATATTTGGAAATGTTGTTAACATCTACTTTTGATTGTGAAATTTGAGAAACTCCCGATAGCATCTGTAAAACACGTATAATTGACCAGTTTATCATCGATTTTGAGAAGGACTTGGCATATCAACTTTGTCTTGAACACTGTAGCTAAAGTGGTCATGTTACAGCTGCAGCAAGTTATCATTTCTTGTTCTTGGTCAATGTGCTCTAGTGTTTTGATTGTTCTTGGTCAATGTGCTCTAGTGTACCCTTCAATATCTGAAAAAGATATAATATTATGTAATATAATATTATGTAATATTATGTAATAGCCTGTGCTGGAAAGATGAACAACACCATGTCTACCGTAGAGAAGTGGGCAAGTATTTGTAATCTACTTCTAAACAGTGCTAAGACTAAGCTAATGATAATTTCCATACAGTCCTTATCCCGAGTCCACGATTTAGTTTCTTTTGCTCCAGCTGTGACTATCACAGGCAAACAAGCCGAGAAGGTGCCTAATTTTAAGTTCCTGGGATCCCACATTAATGAAAACCTAAAATGGAACGAGCATGTAAAACAAACTGCATCATCTTGTGTTATCGACCCTGCGGAAATTGAAAAACCTTGCACCCTTTCACATGAAAAAACAAATAGTAGAAAGTCTTGTCTTATCTAAGATCGACTATACGATGTGTGTCCATTACCCACTACCAGCTTATCTTAGTAAGAAACTACAGTGTGTCCAGAATGCCGCGGCAAGTTTTGTCTATAATAGATCTTGTAGGGAACTGGACGTTTTGTCACTTGGTTGGCTTTCTTCAATTGAACGAGCGCAATACCACCTCTTTCGACTTACACATAAAGCCATTTGGGATCCCAACTGGCCTGAGTATTCCAATTTGCGTATACGCAATACAAGCAGAGACTTACAATCAAGCTCTTTTGTGACGTTGGAAACTCCTTTGGAAACTGGAACATTTCAAGACAGTTGTGCCAAGCTATTTAATAAACTAGACCCACAATTAAGAAATGAGAATAACATTAAGATTTTTACGCCAAATGTCAAAACAATGCTGTTTGCCACAGCTAAGGAGAGACTAGCGTCTACCTAATACCTTCTCTTACAAATCAATTTAATGGAATATAATTTCTTTTAACTTCTATTTTTATCATTGAAGATGTAGAGCTACTTTGTAGACATGCTTCATTAAACCGTTATTATTATTATTAATATTATTAAGAATTATAAAGAACTATTTAATAATTTTCTTTTCTTCCAAGTTTACAGTTATTAACTAGAAGTGGGAATGTGGAAGGATAACAGGGGGGACAGTTTGGAAAGTTTAAATAAATATTTGAACATAATTACATAAATTTTCTATTGCAGATATTTCCTATATGTGTATAAAGTTTTGTAAATTATTCAGTATGCAATCCCTTTAAGGCCACCACATTATGGCTACTTTTTGTCAGAGGAAAATATAGATTAATAGGTTTTCATATATAGGAAGCCTTTTTATTACATCTAGTTAACACAGAGATTCCATCCTCTTTAATTAATGAATATCAGTTTCTGATGGTTGCAGGAAAAGGAAAGGTTCTACTTCTTACAATTATTAGTAACAGATGAAGAATTGAGATGATTCAGAATTGGTAGATGCTTCAGAGTTGATTTTTTATTCTTCCTATTTTCTTAATGGACAGTTAGTGGACATGAAACGAAAGATGCAAACAAGTTAAATTTGGTGGTTCAGCTAAGCTGCTAACCTCTGCAAAAAATTATTTCTATTACTATTAGCTGCTAACCTCTGCAAAAAATTATTTTTACTACTATTAAAAGTTAGTATTATTAGTATTTTACCTTCACTTTGTCTTTAGAAATAGTAGCACTACTGTCACTAGTGCTGGTTGATTTCCTAGGAGAGTGAAAAATTGTTTTTGACTTATTTCACCTTTTTATTTTTTTCTTGGCAAAACTTGTCAATACTTACTGTGAAATTGATGAAGCCATATAGCTTGCTTTTGTTCTATTAATAGAGGATGGAGGTAGCTTTATCTAAATCACTATTGTATTATAAGCTTATAAAGCAGTAGTGTGAATTGTTACATAATAATAATTTTGTATTGGGCATTACGGTGTAATTTTGTGGGTTTAAATATATTAGCATATATGCGCTGAAATGTATTTTAGTCCAATTTTAAATAATTTATTTATAACTTAAAAACCCAAATAATTATTTTAGTATTTAAAGCCTGAAGGGTTGGTATATTAATAGTGACACAATTGATATGTTCTTGGGCATAAAACTAATAAACAGTTGGAAAACATATTCAACTCATGTTCTGTTCAGTTTGTAATTCAATCATTAAAATAATTCATTAATGCAGATGCTAGTTAGACAAGTTTGTTTTAAACAAATATATTTCTAGATAGCAATCACATTCAATCACATGTTCTTGGGCAGCTGGGCTTTGCTAATTTGTAACGGATACAATCTACAATGGTTTTGTAAAAAGTTCTGCTGGTATACTAAAATCAATTAATATCAAAGCACGACGACTATTGTAGAACACATTTGCAAAGTGCTTAATAGAAAAATACTTACACAATTTATTCCAGTTATTCTTTTCTGTATGTCCAATTGCCTATGTTTTTTTTTCAATCTCACCTCGTGACATCAAGTTCAAGATTCAAGTCCCAGTCACATGATTGCATGATTGTTACACTGAGCTGCAATAATACTGGAGGTGTTCCAGTTTTACATTGCTATATTGCTGAAGAAATTTCATGCAAAATATACACTATACATGCAAAAAAATTGAATGATTTTTATATTTTGAATAACTTGATAATATACATAAGATAAGATAACATTATTGTAATGTAACATAACAACAGATAACATAATTTATTATATCAAATAAAAGTCATTAGATGGAAAAAATGAAGCGCAATAATATTAGCTAGGCAAGTCAGATGGCTTGTAAAAGTGTACATATAGATTTGACTAAGCAGACAATAAAGAAGCGACACAAAAGACAATTTACAACAGACTACAAACAACAATGCCATACGCCAGCACCAATGAAATTTTAAAACTTGGTTACTAGCAGGTTACTGACAGGAAATACGTAAAGAAATATTTTTTACTAGTATAAGACCAATCACAATTGGTCTTCAAATTTCTTTGAATGTACAACCAAAGATTTACATACTCATGATAGCAGATATTTTGGGTTTTACTAAATACTGCCCGAGAGTGCCCAGGAGCAGCTGAGAGCGCCCGGGAGTATGCAAGGGTGAATAAGTCTATGTGTGATCCTTTTGAAGATTTTGACTTCTTTTTTTCAACAAAAACAATGTTAAAAGTGATTTTCAACCAGCCCCGGTGTCGCGCGAAATTTATGACTTGCAAAATATATGAGTGTCATTTAAATTAAAAATTTAGAAGAGCTTTTCCTGGACTCTGTTCAAGAAATGTGTCAAGACCATCCACATCAAGAACAACCACTAGCACACCACAGCCACCAGCAAAAAGGTCTAGGCAGATGGTTGGTTACACGCCAGTGACATTCAAGGTTCCAGACACTTGGACCCATGATGTTTGTATACTTGGGAGGTGTGATGAATCTACAACCCCAGATAGAAGTAGAAGTGAAGCCTTAACTCAAGCTGGACTTGGACGAGTCAGAATTGTATTTCCAAACAGAAAGGCTTTCTGTAGAATCGGGATACTTGATTAGATTTATTTGTATTAGATTAAAGTCACGTGACAACTTATCACGAGGCTGTCGTTTGAAGTGTGTTCTTTCGTTTTGTATCGTTTGTGTATTTTGTATTAAAGCGATTGTAGAAAAGCTAAAGATTTCTGTGAGTTATTACATATCAGCGAAGAGGACATTACATTGGCGACGAGGATGGAAGTTCGTCTAACATTATAGCCGTGAATTTGGCAAGATTACCAATCGGGAGTGTAGTATTTAGCGAAAATATTTGAAATGTCTGTCGCGGACGAAGATGGCGCAGGACAAAACGGCAATCCGGCAGGCGCTCAAGCAAGTTTATTGACAAGCGACGTCAAAGGGCTTCCTTGCTTTAACCCCAGGGAAGACCCAACGAATTTGGCTGTGAGATGGAAGCGCTGGAAGCGGTCATTTAATGTGTTTTTAACGGCAAAGGGAGTAATAAATGACAAACAGAAAGTGGCATTACTTCTGCATACGGGGGGGTTGCAGTTGCAAGAACTATATTTTACGTTAGTAAACGAAGACGAAGAGAAAGAGTTTAAGGATTGCGTCAAGGTCTTGGATGAGTATTTCGTCCCTAAGGTGAATCTACCGTTTGAGAGACACCAGTTTCGTCAAATGAGTCAGATGAACGGCGAGAAAGTGGATCATTTTGTTTCGCGTCTTAGGCAAAAAGCTACTACGTGCGAATTTCAGAACGTGGAAGAAGCAATTCGAGACCAACTAATTGAGAAATGTGGCGACTCAAAGCTTAGACGGAAGTTTCTTGAACGCGTTAATGCAACACTCAAGGATTTACAAGATATTGCGCGGGGCATATGAGGCGGTAGAAGAGCAGTTGAAATCAATGGAAGGTTCGAATACAGTAAACGTTGTGAGTCATAAATCGCGTTGGAGCGGACGAAAAGAGAAAAAGGTCAACACAGATCAGAAAGAGCGCAGATACTCAGCCAAGGGGACTGGGCACGACAACAAGGATAACGTACGACGATGTTACAACTGTAATAAAACTGGGCACTTTGCTCGAGACGCAAATTGTCCAGCAAAGTCCAAGAGCTGCAATAAATGCGGAATCATAGGTCACTTCTCAGCTTGCTGCAAAAAAGCAGGGGAGAAGCACAACAAGGAGAAAGAAAAAAAGGAGGAGAAAAGAGCATATAAAGTCTCTGAGGAAGAAGGAAAAACACCAACAAGAGATGACTATGCCTTTGTTATTGGTGGGCATGGACAAAAAGATATGGGTCAGGTGGATCTAATTATTGGAGGAGTGAAACTAGAAAGTATTTTAATTGACTCAGGTGCAACATGTAATGTAATTGATTGTGAACTCTGGAACTATCTTAAAAGAAAACATGTTAGGTGCGAGTCAAGGGTATCAGACAAGAAACTGTTTGCGTATGGACAGAAAGAGCCAATCGACGTTGTAGGGACATTTACAGCAGAGATTGTGTGCGAGGCAAACAGTGAAAGATGTGTAGACGATTTCACTGTGATTAAAGAGAACGGAAGGCCTATATTGGGGAAGAAAACAGCCGAACAATTGAAAGTACTCAGGGTTGGACCTGAAGAAATAATAAGAACTGTTAACACGGTCACACAAGAGGGAAGTGATTCAGATATTCGTGAGGAGTTTGCTGATATTTTTACTGGAGTCGGACTACTTAAGGATTACAAGCTGAAACTGCATATCGATGAGGATGTTATACCAGTTGCTCAGCCGGTGCGTAGACTGCCATTCGGTCTAAGGGACAAAGTAGACGATAAGTTAGACGAGTTACTCGACATGGGTATTATCGAAGAATTGCCAGAAGCAACACCTACAAGGTGGGTTTCACCATTAGTGGTTGTTCCAAAAGCAGATGGAAAGGATATTCGAGTTTGTATCGATATGAGAAGGGCAAACGAGGCGATTGTAAGGGAAAGACATCCTATTCCGACCATAGAAGAAGTTTTGTATGATTTAAATGGAGCAACGGTATTTAGTAAGATAGACCTCAAATGGGGGTTTCATCAAGTGGAACTCACAGAGGATTCAAGGGACATTACGACGTTCGTGACACACCGGGGGTTATATAGATATCGTCGACTGATGTTCGGAATTACTTCAGCTCCAGAGAAGTACCAGAAAATAATCTCAGATGTTTTGGCAGGGTGCAATGGGGTGGCAAATATTGCGGATGATCTTATTGTTTACGGGGCTGATTTATCCGAGCATGATGAGAATCTTTATAAAGTACTAACACGTCTGCGAGAGAAAGGTCTTACCGTAAATGGGGACAAATGTCAGTTTAGACTTCCGGCCTTGACCTTTTTTGGCCACAAGCTCAGTGCCAAAGGGGTGGCACCAAGTGAAGAGAAAGTTGCTGCTGTAGTCAACGCTAGACCACCGCAAAATGTTTCGGAAGTTAGGTCGTTCGTACAGTTAGTACAGTATTCGGCAAAGTTTATCCCGGACTTTGCGCAGATTGCAGAGCCGTTGCGTCGTGTACTAAGAAAGGGACAGTCGTTCGTTTGGGGGTCAGAGCAACAGCAGGCGTTTGAGAAGCTGAAATGGATGATGACTAGGGCTGAAGCCCTGGCTTATTTTAGAAACGACTGCAAAACGAGAATCGTCGCGGATGCAGGGCCGGAGGGAATTGGAGCTGTGTTGCTACAACTGCAAGGAGACCAGTGGAGAGCGGTGTCGTATGCCTCCAGGAACCTCTCGGACGTAGAGCGGCGATACGCCCAAACAGAGAAGGAAGCACTTGCACTCGTGTGGGCTTGCGAGCGGTTTAATATATATGTGTATGGTCGTGAATTCGAACTGGAAACTGACCATAAGCCACTAGAGTGTATTTTCAACAAGACATCGAAACCCTCAGCAAGGATCGAAAGATGGGTATTACGGCTTCAGTGCCACAACTTCAAGGTCGTTTACCGGCCTGGAAAGACGAACATTGCCGATGCTTTGTCTAGAATGAACCAGAAGAGTCCAAAAGACCACAGCAGCGAGAAAGAGGACGTCATCCGTTTCGTTGCCATACAAGCGACACCCGTGGCCTTAACGACTAAAGAAATAGAGAGAGCGTCAGAAATCGACGCTGAATTACAAAGTGTGCGATACTATATCGAATCGGGAGATTGGACTAAATGTAAACTGTCGGCATATGCGTGTGTAAAGAATGAGCTCTGCATGATTGGTAGACTTGTTTTACGGGGGAATCGAATCGTTATTCCTCAGATGTTGCGAAGAAAGGTTTTGGAAGCGGCACATGAAGGCCATCAAGGAATTGTAAAGACGAAAAGCAGATTAAGAACGAAAGTATGGTGGCCCAAGATGGACATAGATGCTGAACGAGTGTGTAAATCGTGTCATGGATGTCAAGTAGTCAGCCAGTATAATGTACCGGAACCCATGAAACGGACCGAGATGCCTACAGGCCCATGGCAAGATGTCGCAGTAGACTTGATGGGGCCAATGCCAACCGGAGAATACTTGCTGGTAGTCGTGGATTACTATAGTCGATACTACGAAGTTTCCATTATGCACTCAACAACTTCAGAAAAGATTATCAAAGCGCTAAACGAAATTTTTGCTAGATTTGGTTTTCCTTACTCGTTGAAATCAGACAACGGGAGACAGTTTGTTAGTGAGGAGTTCAAGAGGTTTTTACAACAAGTGAATATTGAACACAGAACGTCACCACCACTTTGGCCACAAGCTAACGGTGAAGTGGAGCGCCAAAATCGCACTCTTCTCAAGGCACTAAAAGTGGCCCAAGTTGAAGGCAAGGATTGGAGAAAGGAGTTACCACAATTCCTTCTTGCGTATAGAACAACACCGCAAGTCACAACTGGAAAAACACCAGCGTTCCTTATGTTCAAACGTGAACTGAGAAGTAAACTTCCAGAACTTAGGGGAGATATAGACGACTTTGATGAGAACATAAGGGATCGCGATTGGCGAAACAAGCTAGTACAAAAAGCTAATGCAGATGAAAAAAGGAGGGCAAATGATAGCACTATTCTACCAGGAGACCAAGTACTACTACGGAACACTAAAACGTCAGGGAAGTTAGCTGCCAACTACGAAAAGGAGCCGTATACGGTGGTCACGAAGGAGGGGAACGAAGTGATGGTAGAGGCGGACGATGGCTCGATCTTTAGGAGAGACAGTTCATTTGTAAAACCATATAATAATCCAGTGGAGACAGCTACGGAAAGCGAGTCCCAACAACAGCCGCAACCGGATAGCGAAACGGTTATCACCAATAGACTTAAGCGGGAGATTAGATTACCCGAGCGATTCAATGATTTTATCATGGACAAACCAAAGTGATACAAATATATTACGAAACAGTATGAACACGATAGTTCGTGTAGTTGAAGTTATGATTGGTTGTTCGAACACTAAATTGACTGGAAAGGAAGGGATGTAGAATCGGGATACTTGATTAGATTTATTTGTATTAGATTAAAGTCACGTGACAACTTATCACGAGGCTGTCGTTTGAAGTGTGTTCTTTCGTTTTGTATCGTTTGTGTATTTTGTATTAAAGCGATTGTAGAAAAGCTAAAGATTTGTGTGAGTTATTACATATCAGCGAAGAGGACATTACACTTTCCATGCTGATCTACAAAATTTTCTAGAGAGCAAGTTCCCAAAACTAAAAGCTGGAGGAGGATTTGAAGTTCTCAGGGCCCATGGGGGTGGTGCTCGGAACCCATTGGTCTTTATGTACAGCATTCAAGAGTTTTAAAAAATGTTTTTGAAGAGCTAAAAGACCAAAAGTTTGAAACCAGCAAATTGTCTGTAGAGTTTGTTGGGGAACCTGCAGCAGATACAGGTGGTCCTACAAGGGAGATGTTTTCTATTGCCTTTAAACAAGCAATTGATTCCAGAATAACAAGAGGTGCATTACCAGCAATTACTTTTATGCATGACCAGTCAGCCTTGGCTGAAGGGGAGTATAAAATGTTTGGTCAGCTTGTCGCACTCGCATTACTCAATGGAGCATGTGGTCCTCATTTTCTCCTTCCATCCCTTATTCATTTTGTCCTTGGTACCCCCGATGAACAAGGTGCTGCAAGCTTAATTGAACAGTTGCCCATGGAGAATCAGGAAATTAAGAAGAAGCTGCAAGAAATGAACAGCTGCACTGACTCACAACAATGGAACAAAATAATATTAGCATTTAATGACCGTTTTGACATGGGAATCAATTCAGCTACTGTTCCATTTGAAAAGAAGGAAGCCACTATCAAGGCTGCTGTTAAGCACATCATGCTGAGTTCTGTTGCAGAAGAAATTTACAGCTTTCAAGAGGGCTTGTCACTGTTTAATGTGCTGGCCATAATGAAGAAATACCCTGAGGAAGCGTTCAAGGAACTTGCCCACGCTGAGCTTAAGGAAGAAGATGTCCGCACGCCATTCACGCCCATTTTTTCGGTTAAAGGATCCTCAAAGAGAGTTAGTGAGGAATTGATAGCATATAATTTTAATCAATTTCTTAAAAAAGTTCGTCAATGTGCAATTACCCGCACTGTTTTTGATCTAGATGGAGTTTTAAGTACTACATCAACTTTACCAGAAAATGTTCTCACTCTCAACCTCCATGATGTATTACAGTTTATCACAGGGTCCCGTTATCTTCCACCTGGAGGTTTTGAAGGGTCAATGTTGTTCCAGCATGATGTTTTGCATGGAGCACGAGCGAAAGCCAACACTTGTGGAAGGACAATTAATTTTCCTGTTAACAAACGATACAGTTCCGAAGATTCCTCTATCTTTACAGCTAATTTTGCGGATGACATTTTCGACGGACCAGCATATGGATGTGTTTAAACTCTGACTGGGGGATGATACAAAATACAAACATCTTTATTGGAGTTGTTCTTTAACATTTTAACTTAGTCGTTGATGGAAATTGTTCCCTTAACTTTGTATATTCTGTTCTGTTTTTCATGTATACAGACGTTTATGTGTACAGTAAAAATTAGTATGCTTTCATTTTTGTTGCTGGCATGCATTATAACCCACTTGGTGTAAAATCAAACAGAAAGAATATTTACTTGATAGTAATTGTTGTGACTGTTAAACTAAGAAAATGATTAATGCATAATATATTCATTATTACATATTTTATACATACATTTTTAAAGAAGTCTTCATTTTGTAATTCATTTAGTGTGGTGACTGTGATGTTGATTGGTTAAGTATTTCTGTTACAAACAGGCATACTTGGATGTAGGTGTTAATGCCATATGCATCGTCATCTTGAAGTGGGTGAATCTTTTCTTTTAGCTCCTCCAACTCATCATCAGAAATGGGTTGGCTCACATCAAGCAGGTCAACTTCACACCCTCCTTCTGAACAGAATGAATGTTCTTCTGTCTCTATTCCAAACTCTGACCAAAACTGCTGGATAAAAAAGATTATGCATTTTTCAGTATGATATAGTCTACATTATATATTCTATTCCATGCAAATCAATTGCATATATACCTCACAGTCCTGTGATGGTTGATTTAGAATTGTTTGTGCTGCCAAGTCATTACTTGCTGCAATGTTACACAACCCGCTGATCCAAAGTTGGTTTGGAGTCTTGTTCTGTGCTGTTCGTATAGGATGATCATTCCATCCATTAACAAAATGAGAAATATGTTTGTTTATTCTGTCAATAAATACATAATGCAAGCAGAACATATGGACCTCGTTGCTTAAATCTAAATAACCTGCTTCTTCCATATAGAAGAAAACAGAGTAGTAAATATAAAGACAACCAACAAAAAGATCCCTCCAAAAACGTTCAATCCTTTGGTTGTGAACGCTTGGGCCAGTGATGAAGCTCCCTCTTCCAGGTCCTCTAGCTGGATGGTTTAACATGTATCGTGCAACACTGACATTTTCAGTACCCTGATCAGCACGAACACGGGAAGGTAAACCATGTTCATCCACAGCTTTGACAAAATGACTTAAAACTGTTGTTGCCTTGTTATTCCCACTGCACGACATAAACATTACTTTTCTTGAAAATCCATCTATACCACCGTGAATAATTATTTTCCACCTAAATAATCATTAAAAATGGCTCTTTATAGTCCAGTTACTTTATAAATAATATTTAGGTTATAGACCACTGTAATATTAGTGAAATGCATGACTTTTTCATCATACTTTTTTTCTCCAAATAACAAAATAAGAGTGCTCCAATTTTATGGGTGCGTGGTGGCAGGAAAGCCAAATGTCACATGATGTATTATAAAACTTATTAATTTTAATAAAAAAAAATATATGTCACCTTTTCAGTTTGTGGTTGCCATCAATATGCCAGAGTGCAAAGAAAGGGAGAAGTTGTATCTCGTGTAAAGAAAGGGAGATGTCATGCGTCATAGTCGGAAGTAGCCGATGGCATCCTGGGGGATGGGACGGAGAGGATTTGGTGTTATTAGTTTTAGGCAATGGTTATTAAATATTATTAGCTTTTCATGTTGTTGGACTTATTAATGCGCCTAACATGGTGTCAGGTGTGGGATCCATTAAAACTATAAATTACAAAGAGTGCAATCTACCTTTTGTCATCGTCTGAGCGCTGGTCAGAGCCCAGAGGTTCAGAAATTAAGAAAAAAAAAAATCCGGTGTTATTAGTTTTAGGCAATGGTTATTAAATTGGTGTTATTAGTTTTAGGCAATGGTTATTAAATATTATTAGCTTTTCATGTTGTTGGACTTATTAATGCGCCTAACATGGTGTCAGGTGTGGGATCCATTAAAACTATAAATTACAAAGAGTGCAATCTACCTTTTGTCATCGTCTGAGCGCTGGTCAGAGCCCAGAGGTTCAGAAATTAAGAAAAAAAAAAATCGGCATTTCGACCGCCATTTTGAATTTTGAAAATTTGTATTTTCAAATTGCATCTAAAAAAAAAACAAAACAGCAAACGAACAATGCCAAAGAACGAGAAACCAATATTGGACGTTCAAGCGGTTCGAGCCAATGGAGATCATTTCAGACACTGGGAAACTCGGTTTCATGATTACTGTTTGCTCGAAGGATACAGAGATCCGACAAAAGATAGAGCTACTCAGACAGATGGCCATTATATCGAAGCAAAACGGCCTTTTGAAATAGCTGTTCTGCGGACAGCAATACCATGCTCAGAATGGAATACGCTGGACGATGTAATTTCTCCAAAAATATCAGAAGATGATCGACAAAAACCTTGGGTATGGCTCAAGAAAATCAAGGAACATTATGTGGGGGCAAGTACTATTCGCCGAAATCGTACCCAGATTCGACCAGCAGCAGCACCAACCCATTTTCGTGAAACACACCCACTGCAACCATATACTGGTCACTCCCCTCCTGGCTCAACTGAAGATCCACCGTCTACCACATCATACTCGGAACATGATTTACCACCTACCACGTCGCCTTCACGACCTGATCAAGGAGAAATTACTACCCAAGCTGAAGAGCTCCAACAACCTACTGCTCAAATTCTGCCTTATACTACCCGTGCAGGAAGAACCGTGCGACCACCCAGCAGATTTAAAGACTATAAACTTTATTAGGGAGTTATTGTTGTCTACAATATTATTTGTCAGAACAGAGACTGAAAAACTCTGATAATTTTTTCTCTATAGAACTATTAATTTTATAAGTTGTATCTCGTGTAAAGAAAGGGAGATGTCATGCGTCATAGTCGGAAGTAGCCGATGGCATCCTGGGGGATGGGACGGAGAGGATTTGGTGTTATTAGTTTTAGGCAATGGTTATTAAATATTATTAGCTTTTCATGTTGTTGGACTTATTAATGCGCCTAACACAAGTGGTCCTGGCACATTGTATACTCTCCTATGGGTAATTTTCAGTTGAAGAGCGCGAATGAAAGTCCCTTCTGGGTCAGTCCGTCTCATTGACTGCCTCACTCTTTCCTCTTGTATCTTAAATCCCCTTGCAAGCAGATGACCTCGCATTGCCTTGTAACCACAATTTTTAAATTGTGAACTGATTTCCACAACAATATTATCTAGTTCCTCATCATTAAAACTGGCATAAGACTTTTTAATGGATAAATTGTACTCCCGAAGTCGTCGATGGACTGTTTTTTTACTGACACATAGCATTTTTGCAATGTCTGTAACTTTAAAGCCATATTCAAGAAAAAGTTCAATTTGTTCCTTGGGAATCTTAAGCTTTGGTCTTCCACTAGTTTGAGTAGAAGTACATGTAGTAGTCTCGTTGTACATGAAAAAACTAGAAGTATTTTGCCTTAATTCGCAATTATTAATAGCTGATAATAATTCTTGGGCTTGAAGAAGATGCTCAACGAACG